CCAGAAACTTCTTGAAGTTCCCTCTTAAATGACCAATGTCAGAAAATAAATTATGTTCAAGTCAATACGTTTAAATAGTGGTCACAATAAGTATGACAAGAGTAAATGTCACATAAGGAGAAATTTCTATAAAATTTCATTCACTTGATAACAACAACTAAAAATAGATTGAATAAAGGATCTAGTTTTGCATAAAGAATCAATGTCCCTCAGATTTACAAGTTAACATTTAAAGCTGTGTAGTAATTTACCTTACTCATTGGTATTTATTAACAGTTGATTGTTTAAGATCTACAGAGAGGAGAGTATTTCAGGAAGCATACCTCACTTAAGAACTGAAATTCTGATAGCCTATGTTGATACCAAACGAATATTACTTACTATTCATGTTTTTTTGTTTGTTTCCCTAAGAAAGGACCTTTTATTTGCCTCAGTACAGTGGTGTGAAACATATTGACCTTAATCTTATTACCACTGGAGAAGTAAAAAAAAATGGTGGCAATGACACAGGAGATGGTCAGATAATATTGTTGAATGAATGAACGATTAAATAATGAAATGATCTTGTTGATAAGTTCCCTTTTGTCTACACTGAAAAATGTAGAAGACATTCAAGTGTTTTTATGGTTGCTGGCTATACATGTTATTACGACAATATGTATCAGTAGAGGGTTCATAAAGTTTGGATAACCTATCTGTCCCATAGTATACATTTCAGATACTATGCTGGTTTAGCCCATTTGCCTAAGAGGGTTCCTTTGTAGTACCCTTCGGAAGGCTTCCTTCACTTCCTTGTTCCTCAAGGTATAGATAACAGGATTCAAAGCAGGTGTGACCACTGTGTACATGAGTGCAGTGGCTTTGTCTGTTTCTGGAGTGTGCATAGCCTTAGGTTGGAGATAAGTGAACAAGGCAGTGCCATAGAACAGGGATACAACCAGGATATGAGAAGAACAAGTGGAGAAGGCTTTGTGTCTGCCAGCTGCTGACGGGATTTTCAAGATGGCCACAAGAATGCGCACGTAGGAGCACAGGATGAGCAAGCAGGGACTCATGATAAAGAGCACAGAGATGGCGAACATCACGATCTCATTGTGGGAGGTATCAATACAAGCCAGTTTCACTACAGGCATAATATCACAAAAAAAGTGCTGAATCTTTCCCGTTCCACAAAAGGGTAATGTGAAGATCCATGTGATCTGTGCTGACTCCACCACCACCCCTGTGGTCCAAGATGCAGCAGCTAATTTTAAGCACACACGAGGGCCCATCAGGAGAGTGTAATGCAGTGGATAACAAATAGCTACAAAGCGGTCATAAGCCATGGCCGCTAGCAGGCAGCATTCTGTCAGTCCCAAGATGGCAAATATATACATCTGGGCTGCACATCCTCGCACACTTATGGTCTTGGTCTCCACCAGCAGGTGCACCAGCATCTGAGGTACCACACTGGTGATATAACACATCTCCAAAAAGGAAAGGTTCACCAGGAAGAAATACATGGGCATGCGCAGAGAAGGGGTGACCCAAATCAGGCAGATGATGATGAGGTTTCCAACCACAGTAAATAAGTAGATGATTAAGAACACAACGAAGAGTACAAGTTGTAACTCCGCTAGAGATGAAAAAGCCACAAATGTGAATTTGGTACAGAAGGAGTAGTTTCCACTCATTGTGATCTCAGAGCCAGACATCTGTGGAGACATGAAAGAAGGCCAATAATTTCTAGGAACCCGATCACCTAACAGAGCACTATCAAACCACAGCAAAGAAAGTGTCCCAGAATCAGAGATCTAAGATGAAAACCTAGACACCTGGATTTTTTTCTGTTAAATCTTCCTAAATTACTACTCAATTAGAATAGAAGCATAATTCTTTCTAATTTTTAGTTGAGGGACTTTTTTAAAAACAATAATTTAGAGCAAACAGTGGCCTTAGGTTATCTATTCTTAGGTTTTGTTCTAATCAATATTCTAATTATACACATAAGATGTCCCTAAACTAATATCCAACAATTATAATTGTAAAGAATTCACTTAAAACCAAAGTACACAGAATAAAATATAAAGGTACTATATATTCTGGTCTTCCAAATTCTACAACCTTTCT